TGCTCTGAGCTGCGCAGGAGAAACGAGCAATTGAGAGAAGCAAAATTTGTACGATGTGTTTCAGCTGTGCCTGCCGTTGCTCGCCTGAACAAATCACATGCTCATAAAGTCTGGGTGTCTGACACCTATTGTATGGCTGAGAAGCTTGAACCTTTCTATGGAAACTTGGCCACCCAGATTAGTTGAAATGACAAGAACATGCATGCACTCGCAAAACTGCCATTAGTATCTGATTTTGACAGGGCCACCTGACCAGAAGATCGATAGCATAAGCTTACCAAAATCTGCACATCGATAACCATTACCGGAGAGAAAAATTGCTTCCGATATTACAGGCTCATGTGTGTTTCAATCGTTTGGATGGCGACTTACATCGTTTCAGTGCAGGAGTTTGGACAAAATTAAGCTAGCTGATATCACATCCTCTAAATGCTGTTCTACAAGAGCACAACACCGACATTTTGGTCGAGGCCACACGAATATGCTGCAACAGATTGGCACTAACCATGAATCAATCACCTTGCATACAAACCAAGTCAATCACAAGTGAACAGCTCCGCGCTGAGAGAGAAGACAATAGCCTATATGCATGTGCGTATCCAAACCAAACAGCACTGGACGTTTGCCAACCAGCACGTATACTACATACGACACCCCAATCAAATGCAAAGCAGAGAGGAGGAATGAGGGGATGAACTCACCATGATAGAGAGGAGGAAGCCGACGCGCGCGTGCACCCATGCCCACAGGAGCGCCATCCAGGAGACGGAGCCGCGGTAAAAGACTGAGAGGAGTCGCGTCGGCGACCAAGGCGACGCCGCGCCCGAAACCCTAGCCCCGCACACTCATGGAGATGCCGCGTCTTGTTGATGGAGGCGTTGGTGCGGCGCTCGCTCCGGGCGTGGCCCGACTTGTGTAGGGCGTCGAACCTTCCCCGCGCGGTGCCCGTGCCTGCCAAGGTCGCCGTCGTGTGCCGACACTTCTTCGCCCTCTGCTTGTTCCTTCGCCTTGCCGTGCGCGTTGCAAGTGGCGGAGGATGATGATCTGAACCAGCGTAATGACCGAACGCCGAGGAGCCAGCTTGACGGCGGCGGCGGGATGGAACCCTAGGCAGAGCATGTGTGGGATGCGTCGTGGAAAACCGAGGGATTGTGCGATGCGGTTGAGAGGCATTGGAAAAACCGGTCAGTGGGGCTAGCGAGTAGCGACTTCGTTCCATCGATGGAGATTGATCGTGAGGGGTGGTGGGAGGTGAGACGAAAAAAACCCAGCGAAAATAAACCGTGGATACTATTCACTAACTCAGACATTAGGAGTAGAGATGGCCATGGCAAACATTCTTCGGAACCAAGGCAAAAAAATTAATTTAGTTGCCATGGAAAAAAACACATCTATAAAAAATTCTGATTTTAGTTGCCATGGCAAGTTTGCCAACATCTTAGGTTGCCATGTTTTCGAACATCTTTAGTTGCCATGGCAAGTTTGCCAATTTTTTTAACAAACTTAATTAAAAGAAGTTTGTCATGTTTTTGAACGTCTTAAGTTGCCATGGTAAGTTTGCCATGTTTTTGAACATCTATAACTGTGTCATGTTTTTTAGCGTCTTTAGTTGCCATGGCAAGTTTGCCATGTTTTTGAACATCTTAATTTAAAAAGCTTGACATGTTTTTGAATAAACTTAATTAAAAGAAATTTGCCATGATGCATAGTTTATAGTTGCCATTGGCCGTTAACTAAATTTGTCGTGGTCCAGAAAGCAAAATTTGCCATGATACATAGACTAATTCAAAAATAATATTGCCATCGTGCATGCTTTAAATTTGCCATGATGCATAGACTATAGTTGCCATGGGCCTAAATTTGTCGTGTTCTAGAAAGCAAATTTGCCATGGTCATTTTTTTTTTAAAATGTCATGGTACATACATAAAATTTGCCATGATGCGTCCACTATAGTTGTCATGGGCCTAAATTTGTCGTGGTCGAAAAAGAAAATTTGTCAAGGCCAATTTTAAAATGAAAAAAATGCCATGGCAAATACCCTAAATTTGTCGTGGTGCATAGACAAATAGTTGCCATGGGCCATTAACTAAATTTGTTATGGTCCAGAAAGCAAAAAATGCCATGATGCATAGACTAAATTTTAAAATAAAAATGTCATGGTAGATACACTAAAAATTACCATGATGCATATACTATAGTTGCCATGGTTGATAAACTAAACTTACCGTGGTCCCACGAAATATCCATGGGCATTTGAAAAATTCAATAATCAATAAACAATTGCCATGGTATAAATAGTATATTTGCCATGTTTTTGCACATCTTTAGTTTGTTGTGGCAAGTTTGCAAATGGTTTTGAGCATTTTAAAATAACATGGCAAGTTTGCCGTCTTTTTGAACATCTTAAGTTGCCATGGCAAGTTTGACATGTTTTTGAGCATTTATAACTTTGCCATGGCAAGTTTCTATGTTTTTGAACATGTTAATTAAAGAAGTTTTTCATGCTTGCCATGTTTTTGAAAAAACCTAATTAAAAGAAGGTTGCCATGTTTTTGCACATAGTTAAGTTTGCAATGGCAAGTTTGCCATGTTTTTTAACATCTTAAGTGCCATGGCAAGTTTGTCATGTACTATAACTTTGCCATGTTTTTAGCATCTTAAGTTGTCATGGCAACTTTTCTGATAACTAATTTAGAATTATTTTCTCACTATATTTGCCATGGCAACTTTCTGAATAAAAACTTACAATTTTATTTCACTCTACAAAAATTGCCATGTCGATAACAACTCATAATTATTTTCCACTCTACAAAATTGCCATGGCAACTTTTCTGATAACAACTTAGAATTATTTTTCTCTCAACACGCTGCCCAAATTAATGACGCATATATATCAACTCTCTATTCAAAAATGGCTCTGTTCATTACGCATACACAACGACAACATACAGAGATAAGAAGAAACACAACAATATGTCGCCGAATGATGGATTCAGGATGCTCACCGATAGCAATGATGGTGTGCGGCGGCACTCAGGATCGAATCGAAGGGGACCGAGGCGCCTGGTGATGTCCAGGAGGCGAGCACGGGCGTCGTGGCCGAAGCCCTGTCTTCAGCACAGCCCTTCTGAGCCTTTGAGTGGAGCGCCGTCACCCGGTCGGTGCTGCCCCCTGTCCAGGTCCGCCTTTCCTCCCCCCGAGCTCACCTTGCCGGAGATTAAAGCGGTAGAAGACGTGGGGCGACATGGCGGGGGACGTCGGTGGAGCCTCGCGTGGCGCTTCTTCTCCTCCCCCTCCATTCCTCTCTCCCTCATCCATCTCCCCTAGCTCTGGGCCCCCCTCGCTGAACACCACGCCCGCTGGCCCCGGTGCAGGTCCGCCTCACTGAGCACCGCAGCCGCTGCCCCCTGTGCGGGCACTGGGCTTGATGAGGCAAGATCCAGCGGGGGACGCCGGTGGTGTCTCGTGCGGTGCCTCTTCTCCTCCCCCTTCCATTCCTCTCTCCCTCCTCCATCTCCCCCAGCTCTGGGCCCGCTTCGCCGAACAGCATGCCCGCCGCCCCTTGGTGTAGGTCTGCCTTACCGAGCACCGAGGCCGCCGCCCCCCTGTGCCGGCGTGGGCTTGATGCGGGGGATGCGGGATCTGGAGGTGCGTCGCCGTCCTAGGTTGCGGGCCGAGTCGCTGGGGGTGGTATGAAGGCGCGTCGCCGGGGCCGGTGCGCGTCTATGGAGGGAAAAGTGGTGGGTGGTTTGCTTGTGAGTGGGTGGGTGGGTAGGGTGGGAGTAGTGAGGTTGTAGAGGGACGAGACGTTCGCGATGGCATGCTGCTTTTCCGAACGAAAAAAAAACAATGACGTGGCTGGCCAGACAAGCTTTATGATTCGTGATTGATCCAATGGTCCATAGGGCGTTCGGTCCCAAATCCTACAATACAGGCCGTTCGGGAGTTATTGATTCCGTTTTTAATTCAAGAATTTGGTATATTTCATTTAGAATAAATGTTCCTAAGGAATTCATTATAGGGAGCAGCTTCAAATATATCAACTATTAATTCTGTCTCTACCTCTCTCCCCCCTCTCTTTTACAACAAAGGTTCCTAGCGACGACTGCAAGTACTGGAGCAAGCCGAAGGCGTGCCGCCGTTATCACATCTCTCACACCGTAATCAGACCAAACTTGTTGTAGTAGATAGTCATGAAGTCGTTGTGCTAAGGCCCCACAGGACCAGCACACTAGAACAACAGCCATCACTGGTGAAGAGAAGTATAAATCGACAGGATCCAACATCTAGACGCACGAACGAAGACGAACAAAGACCAGATCCAAGCGCATCCACCAAAGATTCACCAGAGACACATCTCCACATATCCTCCGATGATGCTAGATGCGTCATCGAAACAGAAACCATGCGGGGAAAATCGTATTCCATCTTCAGGAAGCCGCCACCGCCTCATCTTCCTGAGTAGAACACAAACCCTAAAAATAACTCACAAACACACCAAGAAATAAAGCAAGATCCCACCACCGGCAAGGAACGGGTTGCACCGCGCCTCCATAAAGATGATTCAAAGTGAGCCTTGCTAGGGGAACAAAGTAGTGTTGGAAAATGTGTTATTCGAGGCTATGTACAGAAGGCATTGTCTAATCTTTCCAACGTAGGGTCTTACATATGACCAAACCCGTTAAGGTTTGAGTTTCTGTGCTTATTATTATTCCATGATATTCCTGGATCAATTCTCTATCATACACGGTACCAATGTAATAATAATAATACTATTAAATACAAATATATAAATGCATTATAAAATTACTACACATGATCCAGAATTTTACATATTGCTACCTGTCCATTCCCTTTTCAGCAAATTGTTCATTGGCATATAAGCCGTACAAACACTAATTTTGGGGAGTATGATGACACTGATACGATAAGCTCATTGATCCAGAGAGCTAGCTTGCAAAACTTCTTATATTACGAGACGAAGGGAGCCCTAATTAATTCAGTCAGCCACGGTGTGCGCTAGGCTGGTGGCATTAAGCAGATCATGTGCAGGTGCGCATCTCGTCTGCTCTGCTTCGTCGACATGAAGATCATCACGCCTGTGCTCTTGTGATGATGTACAGACTATGTTGAGAAGCTTATCCAGGTTCTTCCTGCTGCCGCCGTCGGACGCGAACGCGGTGGCCGCCATGTCCCGCATCTCCTGCATCCGGGTGCCTTTGTCGCCGGCGAGCAGCGACGACACGGCCTCCACCACGGTCTCGCGCGTCATTGGCTGCTCAAAGACCGTGCCGAAACCCCAGACGTGCGCCACCATCCGCGCGTTCATCCGCTGGTCGCTGAAGAAGGGACGGCACGCCATGGGCACGCCGCCGGCCACGCCCTCCAGCACCGAGGCCCACCCGGCGTGCGTCACGAAGCCGCCCACCGACGCGTGCCGCAGCACGGCCGCCTGCGGCGCCCAGGGCACCACCTTGGCGCGCTCTAGGTTGAGGAACCCCGCCGGAAGCAGCGGCCAGTACTCCTTTGGCAGGGACCAGAGGAACGGCGCGCCCGACGCCTCCAGCCCGGCCGCGAGCTCGCGCAGCTCCTCCTGTCCTCCTACCACGGCGGTGACGACCGTGCCGAAGCTGGCGTACGCGACTGCGCGGGCCGGGTGGCCGTCGAGCCAGGCGAGGCATCCGTGCGGGTCGGCCGCGGCGGCGTTGTCGTCGTCGCCGGGCACTGGGAGAAGATGGAAGGGGCCGATGGGGAGGACCTCCGGGAGCTCCGTGGCGAGAGCGGCGGTGACGTCGTCGGGGAGGAGGCCTGGGAAGGTGTTCAAGGCCACGGCGGTGGCGGCGCGGGGAACGTGCAGCTGCTCGGCCACGCGACGGAACAGGGCGACGATCGGCAGGTGCATCTCGCCGAAGACGCAGCCGTCGGGGAGGTCCCGGACGCGGTAGCTTCCGAGGCCCGGGTGCGAGGTCAGTAGCTCGTCCGCCCGGCTCGCCGCTGCATTCAATCCATTCATTCATTTCCAAGCATTCGTCTCGGATAAGAAGAAGCTTTCGTCCATGCATGGATGCATCCATAGATGATCGAATCATGGCCGTGCGTCCGTACCTTTGTCGCCGATGTCGTCGCGCAGCGCGTCACCTTGGAGGTGCGCAAGGAGCGCGCTCGGACCGCCGGTCCAGACCGGAACCCATGGTGCCCCCACCGCAGCGGCCGCCTCGGCGGCCATCCAGACGAACGCGTCGCCGACGACGCAGGTGACCCTGGCACCGCCGGCAGCAAGGCGGGCCGTCTCCAGCGCCACTCCCACCCCGCCAGCCTCAGCGGCGGCCAGGAAGAGCCCGAGACGCGCCATATGGTTCGGCGGCGCTGCCGGCCCGGCGCCACCCGAGCTCGGTGGCAATAACGTTAACCCGTCCGGCACCTCCACGAAGCGTAGGTTGGCCTCGAGGGCGTCCTGGTTCTTCTCCTGCAGCTGCGCGATGGAGCCGGCGGTGGAGAGGAAGGAGAAGGTGGCGGCCGGCGCCGCGGCGGCCAGGGCGCGCGCCAGGCGGAACAGCTTCACCGCGTGGGAGGCGAAGGGGAAGGTGATCACCACGACGTGCGGCACCGCTGCCATCGTCGTGTACGATACTAGCTTACCGCGTGCAGCTACAGAAGGTAGCTCTCGTCTCTCACGCAGTCTTGTATCTAATCCAGCCGCCGCTCTTGTGCTTCTTATATAGCGGAGACCGGTGAATGTAGTTGTTAGTCTAGGAAGGAATCTCTCCCTTATAAGCTGGTCATGGCCTCCTCCCGTAAGCGAGGTGGGACTAAACCGAGTCAGCTTCACCAGACTACAGCAGCCCTAACATCCCATCCCCTCGAGAAGCCCCTCAGAAAGGCATGGCGATGCTGGCTCTGATACCAGATGTTAGCGTCCAACTCGATCTAGCACACACTCTACTTACGTTCTGGATGTTTATGCGGACATGGGCCAACATTCAGCGGAGAGC